CCATGCTTTTCAGCAGAGCAGGAACGGCGAAACAGCGCAGGGGCAGTCTTATCTTTCTTTTGCTTCGTTTACTACACGATAGATGGCGCATAGCTGCGAGAAATATAACATTCGGCACTTTCCGCCACATCGCTGATTATTGAAAAATATGTGGATCAGAATATTCTTTAACAAAACTTTTAGGAAACATTCGCCGGCTATTTCTTGTTTATGATCGCGGTGCTGGTGAGGTAGGCTCTTCTCCAATAGGCGACGTAGATTTGACTGACGTGAATTGGCACCGCGGACGCATCGTAGTGAAAAGGCAGAGAGCTTTCGAAGGAAAGAAGGAAAAAAAAGAGTTATAACACAATTAAATTAAAAAAGTGCAAGCGAGCTGCACAAGAATGACGAATGACATCCCCATTTCCTAATCCACAAGAAATGAAAAGGTCCCGGTTTCGATACCCGGACCAGACGGATTTTTGGGTCGCACACCAGTCACCTAGCTGCGTATACAGATTTCTGTTTGTCCCTTGACCCCTTGTTACCCTTCTCCAGAGATTATCTTCGTCATCAAAGAGTCCGCGTTTCTTTGAAAAGTTCTATGGCGAAAAAAAAAATGTTTGGCTTTCTATTTTTGTGTTTTGGTTTCTTTTCACACCTTTCACGACGTGCGGTGAATAAAATTTGATTTCAAAATCGTTTCAGGGTCTTTTTAAGTGACAAAATAATTTCGGACCACCCAGCAGGGCTACACAATTTCATAGCAAGATTTTTTTTTTTTTTAATAACCAACAATATTGGGAGGTAAAATGGTCCATAAGACCTCTCACCTATGTAACGTGTATAAAGAAAAAAAAAACGAAGAGTTTGCGATCTGATACGGTGTTCAACTATTTATTGTAATGCTTACTTTTCATCAAACATCGAGTGTCGGTGGCCCCCAACGTTTGGTGCTTCTCCTCGCTAGTGAAAATATATGGCCTCAGTAAAAAGAGACTAAACCGATCCTAAAATATTCAATGTCCAGACAGATTCCTTCAAACAAATTCAATGTAAGAACTTTTTTTTTTTTTTTAGGTTATTGCAACAGTCGGAAACGAGGTTGTTTTCGCAGAGTGAAAAAGTTAAATATGTATGGGACGTTTCTCTTCGAATTCGTTCCGTCAGTCGCTGTCGTGGGGGTTATATCGTTTGCGAGCCAGGATCGGGGAAGTTTTATCTCTGCGGCATTACACCACCTCCCGACACTCGAAGAAGCATGCGGTGGGCTTTCTTTTTCCTGTTTTTGTTTGAGGTTACCGGCATTGTGGGAAAAAGAGGTGCATTCCGTAAGAGTTTTTCGGTCGAAACACCGAGCAAAGCGTGCGTACTTCGTTTCAGCTTAACTTGGCAAAAGGCGAACGCTAGAGAAACTTCCAGCCAATCGGAGTGACTGAAAGGGAGGCACGTGACACTCCTTACCGTAGGTACAGGGGCCAGAGTGCGTGAGCCAAGCAGTTGGAGAAGAGGGGAAGGAAGAACTCCATTCTTACCCTCACCCCACTTTACGCGTCGCAGGCGTCGCTTTCGTTCCTTTTCGGAAATTATAGCCGCCACTCGAAATTCGTACAAATAGCGGTTTTCTTTTTTTCTCTCGCCTCCGGCTTCTACGGCAAATTAGTGAGACAGAGTTTAGTTACGTGTATCCATTTCCGAAGCTCCGATTGGCTCGCCGGGGCCGTATAGCCTTCGCCGTTTACCAAGTTACGGGGAAACGGAGTATGGTACGGACCTTAATACGACATCCCGAGCGTGCGCAAGACTCAACCCGCGCCAAATCGTCGTTTTGGAAAATGGGAGCGAAACGTGGGCGCCGTACCGAAGGACCCCTGACGATGGACCGCGCCAGTCGTGCTTTATTCAATTAGAGCGGTTTCTGGACTGCTCCGTTTGCGGTAGCTGTAAGCACAGTGTGTAATTTGCCTAATCTTTTTTTTTTTTTTTTACATTTTGACGAACAAGCATGTGGTGGGGTTAGAAGCGGAAATCATAAGTTGAGGAATATACATGTGAAGCTTGGTACTGAAATGGAAGCTCCAATATACACCGACAAACGCGCGTTTAGTATATTTTACACAAAAATGTGGATTTCAATTACTGACCATTTGTTTAAGTTATTACATATGCTTTCTAACGGCGACTGCTTCTTAAATACATGTGAGGTTAAAGCTATAGGCCTCAAACTCTTTAGAAATCAACTTTTTACAAAATGTAGATAGCTATCATTCGCCCCACGGCGTTCAAGAATCTTTTATTTTTTTTTTTTGCGAGCATTTTTACATATTAAATTAGTACGACTTTTTTCAGGTGTTCGTTCTGTCGCTGTTTCTCTTTCTGTACTTTTATGTTGTTAGTCCTAAACTTCCGTAATATATTGTTTACCGGCTAATATTTTTTTTTCCTTTTTCTGGTGTCGGTACTGGTATGTTTTCCAATCTAATAGCAGTTACGTTATGGTTCCTGAAACCCGTCCCAGACTGGTGTGTCTACTTCGTACAAAAAAGTGGACCCTCGATGTCCGCCTGATGGCGTCATGTCTCGCTGTCGCCGGCCGCGATCCTGGCGGCGTCACAGTTGCGGTGGTAAATGTGGCAAACACCTGTTCCGGTGCAGATCTTCATCCAGCTTGACAGTCCGCGGAAGCCTCTCCAGGCAGAAGTTGAAACGCCGCGACGACAGCGACACTCGCGTTCGCTCGTTGCTTTCCGCCGGCATTTCTACTACCAACAGCCAGGATCACGACATCCTACAGCATGATCGACACTCCGGCTTTTGTGAGGTTTCTTTTTTTTTTTTTTTTTTTTTTACTTCGGGACTTTTATGAACTCACGGGCGGTATAGTTTCGTGTATAGAGGGAAAGTTTCTTCACGAAACATCACAGTGTCAGATGACGTCATGTTCCACCACGACGACCCAATACATGAAACACACTCCAGGGATCTGCTGCGAAACTTTCCCGATTAGCGGGTTTCATTCGTGACGTCACGACGAGGATTTTGCCTAGCTCACCGTGACGTTACGAGTTCTAATCCTGGCTACTTACACCAGCTGGGAAAAAAGCTAGTTCCACGGTGTGTGCAGAAAGTAGGATGGAAGCTTGGAGTAAACGTAGCCAGGCGATGTTTTGATAGTCTGGGTTTTCCCTCAAAATCGGTTCGACACATTAATAGGTGCATCTAAACTAATTTGGTAGAGGGGCTCAGAGCGAAAAAACTGGTATCTCATTCGCCAGGCAACCCCCACTTGGCTGCCACCACGTTGTACAATTTTGACCACTAGACACGTGAACGTACCTAATCCTGAGGCTTTTACGCAAAACTGAAGCGAGATTTGTATTGCGATCGTTGTAAAAAAACATGATAAACTATGTTTTCGATACTGTTAGCTCGAGAAATCAGTGTCTAGCTCCAATAAAAACCCGAAATATAGCACCGCGGCTGACGGTATCTAGCGAAGGCATTGCGAAGCTGCCCGAGATTTTGTCGTAAAAGCGCATTTTGAACTTAAAACGAACGAAACATAACTTATCTCGTCGGTACTGTTATTAAAGATCAATAAGCAATTATTTGTGCGTGGTACTTCGTTTTAAATCTAGACGTAAAACTACAAGGTCGCGTGTCTAGTGGTCAAAAATGTGCAACATGGCGGCGGCCAATGGGGGGTCACTTTCAGCTACCAGTTTATCGCTCTAAGGCCCACTATCTCGTTGATCTGAACTAAAGTATTTCCCAAATTGCAAGTCACAATATTTTTGTTTCCCCCGAAGTTGATGTTGTTGTTTTTTTTTTTTAATTTCGTCTGAGCAGCTAAGGTATTGGCAAAACTAAAAAAAAAAAAGTGGCGTCAATTGTTGTGATATAGATGTCTTGCTTGCACATGGACCCGACTACAAACACTTTGCTGACCTTCTCTTGTTTAACCCAGAGGCCGCGTCAGTGAAGCGAGTGTTCACCAGCTTCCGCAAAGGTCAATGCCGGGGAGAAGGCCACAGTAGAATCTAAAAATGCCAATAACCTGCCCTGCTGTGCTCATGATGAAGTAAAAGTAAATGTAATAAGAGGAAACAAACATTGAAGGTCTGTTACGGCGGCGCCTATAGAGCCACGAAATAAGCTACGTTTCAGTGTAAAGACTCTCACCCATCTTTGGACTTCAAAATCATGGTTGCCAGTTATCTGAAGCGCTTTATTTGAAATCACAAAAAAACGATTTTTCGTCCTACACAAATGTTTATAAACATATAAACAGTTCGCGACAGGGCAAAGCAATATTAAGTGAGCTTCTTATCACCGAATCTAATGCTGAGGAAGTCGCACTTTTGAATCATGACGATCGGCAGTTGCGTCTGCTCCGCATGAGCACCAAGATAGCGGCGCCCAGAAACAATATCCGGAAGCAGAGTGCCGGTACCCTAAGCGTAGTTCATTTAATGACTCTAACGGCGCCCATGCACAGCACTCTACGGATTAACAAGATTGGTTGTGTGAAATGAACTGTTTTCAGTTTATTTCACACCAGCAGAATACTGTATATTTTTTTAACCCGCAAATAGTATGATTGTTAGGCTGTCTGTTTGACTTGCAAGTAAAACAACATGTGATATCACCCCACCGAAAATAGCAAAGCAATTTGAATGTTTTTTTTTTGTTTGTTTGCTTCTTTGTTTTAGCATAACATTCATTTGCCATTTTCTCAGCAGTCATTTTGAATTTAGAGATAATAAATAGAGTGCCGGGAGGAGTGAAGCATGGGTATTCCGAAAATGTGTTAGATTTTGACTATCTCGTAACACCTTTAAAAAAAGCATCGTCGAAGGATGACTTCACTCTCATGACCGCTGATGAAAGCGAACGAAAATCCCGTAGCGAGCGTTTTGTCAATCGTGAATGGCGAACACAGCGACGCTTAGTCGTGCACGTAATCAAATAACGACCATCGCTGTAAAAAAGAAGAAAAAAAAGAGTAAAGCGCTCACCGACTTTGTGGCAGCCCGGACGCTCCCAAAAATTTGCTCCGGCTTGACCAAGGACCAGAACAGCAACAAAGACCGCCACGAATTGGTTGACGTGCGGCATTCTTTGGGTACCTGAAAGGCACGCACGACATCTTAAAAGTTGGCCACACCGTAGAGTTATTAAAATGTGCGCTAGAGGTTCAAATGCGGCTAGTGTGTTGCGGCAAATTGAACCAGGCAACAGCCAGTCGGAAATTGACTTCCGGTAATGCATTTCTATGGGAAAAAGCGAGTGCGTTTTCTCCCTTGCGCTTGATTACGAGAGAAAATATCACACATAATTCGAACGTACTAGCTAGATTAAAACATTTTTCAGTCACGCAGACGAAAAAAAATTGGTCAGTTACGGTATTTTCATTTCAAATTAATGGCATTAAAAACGGTGCTAGGAAGGCTTCATACGTGTATTCATGTGCACTGTCGGACACCGTTAGCACGAACACGGCGTCGGCGCTTTCCAGCATCAGGGATATACATGCCAAACGTAAGGAGACGTGGAAAACCAAGAGAGACGGCAAGAACTACGCAGTAATACTGAATTTGTAACTACCCGTGCATGTACGATCACAAGAAATTGAAGGCCACGTAATATAGTCCGATATGCTATAAACAAAAAGCAGCGATTTATTCTTTCTGCTTATGAAAATGTGCGAAGATGCTTGTTCTGCGTTCTACATCAACGGCAAGCTCGAAAGTTTTAAAAATAGGGAGAAGCCAAAAGACAGGTGTGTGATGAAAGCTGCTTGACATAGGAACAAATGCCAAGACGCACCTTTCATAGCCCAAGTGCTTTCTTCTTTACTAATTGAATGTTTTTAACGGCTCGTAAAGGTGCACGACTGGGTCATTTTCATATAGTGACAGGAGGGGAATATTGTCAATATATAAGAGATCCTGGAATTCTGCGAACCTTGAGCACACTCTACATTCCTTTCGATTGTTATTTTGCTTGGAATCGTCGCTGGCTTTTACATACCTTCCATGGAACAGAGGTTCAGACCTGAAATATAGCGAAGTTTATCATAGTTCGGTGGTTAAAAAATATGTCGTAACTAAAGCAATTACACTTTTACAACGTTAACAAAGGTACATATTATTCGGTACAGCCCAAATAACAAAAGTTATTTATGTTATTTTCCGTCAAGGAGACAAAATGCACGCGTGTTTCTCCATAGGAATGTACAGGAGCACAGCAAAAGTAGATTGTCTGCTTCAATTTGCCTCCCGGAAGTCGGATATACACTAGCGTCAGTTGAACCTCTAGCGTACAGTATAATAACTCTAGGATCCACACAAGACACAGCAAATGCCGTGAACGGCACACAAAAAACACACAAAAAAAATAGCGAACGCTGCAGCCCCCACGCGCGTTTTCAGCGAGGGCATTAAGCAGGGCAAACAGCACGGTTTCCCTCCTCGCCTACTTTCTGTCGTCTCAACTATTTTCTTGTTGTCGGGATTCCGAGGACTGACAACAACAACGGAAGCCTTGTCGACGGCCAGCAGGTCGTGGGAGTGGGTGTCCACACCCACGTGATGTGCACGCTCCCAGCCTCTGTCCAAGGACGCAATAAAAAGGTAGCTTGTCACGCGAAAAAAAAAAAAAAATCCCAAAGCACACCGGAACCGGAGGAAAACATCCACTTCCGGTACAGAAAATGCTGTGAACTGCAAAAAAGCACGTCCTGTTTGGACAGCTACTAAGAAGTGCACCACCTTCGTGGCATTCATACTGCCGTTCATAGGCAGGTGTCATAAAATCCATCCCGAAGCGGCGAATTTCAAGTCTTTTAAATGATATTCAACAGCCTGGGCAGTTAGTGCAATAATTAAAGCTGGCTCAACGTAGAGGTGTGCACTTCGTTTCAGTAACGTTGTCAAAGGATCCCGGCGGGAGCAGCAAGACCCTAGTTGCGAAATCTATATATATATATATATATATACTCGTAATCCTCTCAAGAACCGTAGTAATAAAAAAGGTCCATCCTCTCTCGTAACCTAACTTATTTCCTCTTTCGTGTGTTCAATCAAAATATGTAGGGCGTCTTAGACTGGTTTTATGTTATTTTATCAAGACATACACATTTCACATGCCAAAAGCATCCTTTCTTCCTTTGACAGCTATATCTAGTAAGGACTACTTGCAGAACTAAATTTTTCTTCGTGTGAAAACGAGCATAATAGGTTAGTCATTTTAAATGCGAATCACGATTGGCTGAACGCTGCAGTGGCGTGGCACTTTTTTCGGTTATGACTTTCAAAACATGTCCAAGACTTTAAATTCGTGGCAACTTCTCCTAGCCCCTTGAGTAGACAGCAACTGAGTTGCATAAGGCCTGCTTTAAGTTTATAGCCGTTTTCTTGACCATGCTAAAAAAAAGAAAACAGGCGCCAACAGAAATTGTCATTGTCAAGATTCTCTAGGGCTTCTGATGATTCAAGCTGGCAAATGTATATTTAAGTCATAATAGTTTATGTTAAAAGCTGGACGTTTTTATTCTCTTTGAACACGTGTTAACCAAACACAGAAAAGTGTGTGCTCGTGCAGCTTTAACCGACTGGCTAACGTAATTACAGAGCAATACAATACAATTTTATTAAATTTTTCGCGCAATTTAAGAAATAATGCCCACATAAGCCAAGAAAACTTCTGTGGCAGTTGCGGTAGAACAAAAAAGTTGGTTTGTTTTATGGGCTATTAAAAACAAAACGACCGTAGCCTTGGCTTACTTTTAGAAATACTTGACGCCGATTCTAAATTGAAGGCCTTGAAACAAACACTCATACACACTGTACAAACACTGTTGCACATACAAACACATACGCAAGAAACACATACAAACACTGTTGCACCTCAACAAGGTAGGGCGAGGGAAATGAAAGATGGAGCGAAAGAAGCTGACGGAACGCGGGAGAGGAGAGGAGAAAATCTCCTTCCTCCCTTCGGCGTTCCGTCTGCTTCTTCCTCCCCAGCCTTCGTTTTCCTCGCCACATCTTCCTGAGTTGCAACGGACTATAGCGCATCGGAACGTATCTCTTAGCCCAAAGAATTAATCTCGGAACAAAGCCAATAGTAGGAATGAAAAACGTTAATCAAGCCAAAAGAAAACAAAAGAAACTTTCGTCTATCTCCCAAAACCAAAATGTGCCATCTCTCATACACAAACAGACGACACCACTCAGAAGACACAACCATCTCCCATCCCCGAAACATTAGCTCTTCTGTCATTCTTCAAGATCAACAGCCCAGACCCCTCCCAACGATACCACTTTCGCCGGTCTTATTATTATCATTATAGGACGACACTAATACGCCCCCAGACGACATAAAAACACACACAAAAACATCAAACACAACAACAACAACAATCGCAAGAAAAAAAAAAAACACTTCTACGTACATCGTTTTTATACCGGTAGTATCTAGACGACGATGGCATAGGGTAGTTCCTAATACTCGCACATTGGCAGACAACCTCGCGGATGTGGCACGAGAAAGGTACACAATAAAGACAGGTTCTGTGAACAAAAAACAACAACAACACAAAAACAAACCCGGCGCCGCAGCGGCCGAATGGGAAAAGCCAAAGACCGACTGACTCGCAGCCTTCAAGAAGGACCACCTCTTGATCCCGGACTGCCACCAGTCGACTCATTCCCGCAATTTCCGTCGACGTGCTGGGCATTCCCGATGTGCGAGGATCCTCTTATAGAGAAGACGTAATTACAGAAAGCATCGCACCCCCCCCCCCCCCCCATCTTTTTTTTTTTTTTTTTGCCTTTTCTGCACTGTTTGTAATGTTTGTTTGCGTTACACTTCTTTCGTTTTTGTCAAGCTTTGGATGGATGTGAGCGTTCGTAGCGCGTTACCGACGTGATACTTCCCTAAGACCGGGCATTTTCTTCGCGGAGGACTCGTGTAGTGAGGAGTGCGTAACCCTGTTCAGCTCATTGCGTGGGCTTGGCTCGGAAGGGTTCGTTGTAAGTGGGTGTGTTTGTTTCGTTATATCGGGGTTCGGGGTTTTGGCAGCTCCGGTTAGTGGCACGAGGAATGATTCGTTGCGGCCTTCGGGTGAAGGTTGTTTTCCTGGACACACTTCGGGGCTGTTGTTTGGTTTCAGTGGCCGGGGTGTTTTATGAAACACGGTCTCAACGTGTTATGCAACATCTACTGTCACGCGACAGCTTAATGAATGCCGGGCATGGCTTTTTGCTTCTGTGCTTATTCTATTACTTTTTTTTTATCGGGAAAGGGGGGGGGGGGGGGGGGAACAAACGCTTGAGAAGTTCAATGAGCAGACGAACGTGCACTTTACGCCATATAGGCATCGCATATATAAATATGGCAAATAACTGGGAAGTTTTGTTACAGACGTGAAACGTTCTGGCATCACGTGACATCAGGTCACGTTAAGTGGATTTTCTCTATAAATTTAGCGGGGAAATTGAATTGCTGTTTTGGTCACGGTACGTTAACTTTCCGCTAAATTTAGCGGGGAAATTCACGTCACGTGATCCACGTGCCACGTGCCACGTGACCTGATGTCACGTGGCATATACACCAATTCAACTTCCTCGCTAAATTTAGCGGAGAAAGTGAACTGGTGTGTAGGTGATTGACATGCCATAATGCAACACTCCGCGCGTTGCATTGTGGGATGTCACAGGCCGAGGCTTCGCGAAATGCGGCTTTAAGCAATCCGGAGCAACTAGCCAAAGAACATATTACATTAATCATATATGCCACAACGCCCACTTCCAAGGGGCCCACGGACGTTTAGGGTACTTAAAGTTATTTCAATGACTATTTTTTAATTAGCAAAGATAAAGATACAGTTCTACTTAAAAAGTTCTCATTATGCTTTCATTCATCTCCAGAGAATAGCATTGCTCAGACATTCCATCGACTGTAATGAAGGTGGGATACCGCTTGATAAGGGTGTTTTTTCGTTGGAAATTAATGTCACGTGATATTATGACATCATCGGACATTGTGACGCCTTAAGACCAGGCCAACATAAGCAAGAAAGGCCCCTGAAGCGCTCTTATACGAAGCTACCG